TCTATGAATCAACGAGATAGTTCATTTGAAAGTGAGATGAAAACTCCCTGCATCCGAGCGGAGATTGTTAGGTTGAAGAAGATACCGATAAGTCGTTTGAAAATGTTGCTTTCTCGAGTGACCAAAACGTTACTTTAAATAGTTAATGTGTTAATTTTTTGACTTTTCCAAACATAACCCATGCATATTGTTTTCCACTGGGGAAGTAATCTATAAATAAGCGATATTGGTCCTGAAAATTCACTGCGTTAAGATGCTGTGAAAAGATTTCCGTATGTTGCCAGGAGTAATGTCTATTTGTTGTATTTCTGATGTAAAGAACTAAGTTTTCATCCCTAACCTCACTTAACCCTAATGATCTCTGAATTATGCCCACTGTGTCAGGTTTCTGACTAGTTATTTTCATTCAACTTTTTATCAAATCACCATTTTCAGTTTCGCCTCCGTTCTCGTTCGCAAGCCTCAGTTCATTCGGCAAATCACACACTCTCGGAGCATCAAACCGAGCATTAAACTGTGACTATAGGTCTCCTCAATGGTATATTTCTAGAGCTCCGGAGTTGAGCTGCCTCAAATGGAAGGTAGGATTACTTTTACTGTGTTGATTACCCTAAAGCTGGTCAGACCTGGGTTACCTGGGTTACGTTGCTTCGAGCTTTGCATTCAGTGCATACTGAATATTGGAGTACCTGACGGCTTTCAACTGAAATACAGTGCACTGACGCACATAATATTCATCTGAGAAGTCCGCGATGCGCTAATGATGAGCTTTAGTGAGAGGAAACTCTAAATTTTACATTTTTGAGTAGATGTTTGATCAGATTAACTGAGAATTATGCGTGAAGGCAAATTCTGGATGGTGGTTAGTTATCCATACGCAAATTGTTACTGATGCACAAGGCCACTGAAAAAGTTCCTTTCAGAGCCACAACAGGAGTTCACGGTATCGCGTGTGCAAATCTCCGCATTTCATGAAGGCTGCCGTTCTTCTTGGAGAAGTGAATTCTAAAGATAGCATGTCTTTAGGTGTTAATCAAATTTCCTGCTAATTCTTCCGTTTCCTAGTTTTACCCTAATCGTTTTCCCAAATCATGCAGTGCAACCTCCTCGTTTTTCCAAATCACGAACTTTATCCTGTTCTGCAACCTCTTCCTCTAATCGATGTATGCACCGCTGTTCGCTCAATGTCCTGAGATTCTTATCGGTTGCATCGGTTACAATCGCGTGGCAGCATTCTGCATTCATTTTTACTTGTTTAGTGGTGAATATCAATAGTATAATAGTCAAAGTGCACACGAATAGTCTTTTTAACACAACTTTTCCCCACCGTTTGATGAATTTCTACGATTCAGTGTTGGACTGCTTCTCCGTGTACTGTTTGCTTATCCAAAATCCTCACTCGTTATTGCATCCTGTTCTCCCTCCGTACCCGCCCCGCCCCCTCTCCCCCGGTGCACGCATACCGCACAGTGCCGACGAGCGGCTCAAGGAGCATCGTGAAGCCCGTGTGGTGATCCACAATGATGGAAGCACGTTGTGGGTTCCACAAGCCTTGTTCAAGAGCACGTGTGAGGTGGAAATCACGTACTTTCCTTTTGACACCCAAGTAAGCTGCATCTATTTGCACTGTGCACTGTGCCATTTTGCCGTACCATTGAAACAATCACCCGTGCATATTCCTATCTATGCCTCTACTTACTATTCATTCAGATTTGTATGCTGGAGTTCGGGTCATGGACTTACGACAAGACGCAGATGGATATTGGGTGGTGGCTCTCCGAAGGTGACGTTGGCATACCGATGCCCTATTTGGACTTCTCGGATTACGTACCCAGCAACGAGTGGCGTACGGATGGCGAGAAAGAACGGGATTTGCCTGCCGCAAATCGAACTATCCAGGTGAGCAACTGATGAACAGCAAAAATATCTAAACTACGTGCACTCAATTTAACTTTTTGTTTTTGTGGTTCTACGTAGGTTATTCATCTCGACCAACGGTGTTATGAGTAAGCAGTCTTATCCGGACCACTCCCACTATCGATATAGACGCTGAACATCATTAGTTATAGTGATTCCTATCTCTGTTTAATTTTTAATTTAAGAGATCTGTGGGTGAATAATTGCTTATCATTCTATCCCAGTCATGCATTTTTCTAAATAAGTGGAAAAAAAATCCAAAAATGTAATTTCGATTTGTACCAGGAAATACTTTCTCATTTCTCTCACAGTTAATAAACAGTACTTATCAAACTTCTGAATATCGAACCAAAAAAGACAGATGAGCTTTGAAGGTTTAAAGATCTTTATCTTCATTAATATTATGACTATTGTATTTACTATTTATACGAATCCGGACTTTATCCCAAACAAAACAGAGTAAAATAACAATACCGGGGAAATCCGTCAGTGATTTGCTATACGGCGGAATACCCTCAGGTTACGCAGGCTTCCGAAAGCCTCAGTGTGGTCGGGGGTGGATATCTAGGGTTGTGGCTGGTCATCCTTCCATTGCACCTCACGAAATTCTCCTATATAACCAAGCGTTACAAACAGCCTCTGCTGATGAAGCTCTGCTCACTGTCTTTTCGTGGTGGAGGTGTTTTCCCACCAAAGATAGGCTAATATTTGAGGCTATAACCGGGTCGGTGAACCACTGGGGAGTTGGCCGAAAACCCTGATTCCAAACCAATCAGGAGGAGGCGTACGAACCACACACCTTCCCGGTTGTGGCAGTGATTACCGGCTCGATTGGGCATTAAGGTGTATTGGGTACCATGGACGTGTAACCCCGTCCAAAAGGCGAATGATCGGATGAACTGGACACCGGCCCCCAATGGCTTGCGGTTTTAACACAGCGCCCCGCTGCCTTGCGGGTAAGGCTTTGGTTAGCCGAAGGCTCCGGTTGAGGATTTCTCAAGAAAATTCACCTATCTTAGCCTGGGCAACCTGGCAGTATTCAGCCCACTTGCAAATCATGCAACGTTTTTCTTTTTTATAAAAGTTATTGTGCCATGATTTGTGTGGCACACAGTCCGGCGTCAAACGTGTTATATATATATATATATATATATATATATATATATATATATATATAAACCCAGGCCGAAGCAAGTGAATTTCTGCAGTATTGTGAATAGTATTCAAAATTGAGTTGCGGAATTCGTGCAATACCTATTCCTGACATATAAAAACTTCGAATGGAATAGCACATGGAATTTATTCGAATCATATACTATGCATATTCAAAGCATTTAAAGTTTACAAGGAATTTTCGAGTTCAGTGTCACAAGTCACACTCGCCGCACCTTGAATTGACCACAGGATTTCTGTAATCTAGTCGTGGCTTCGCACTCAATCGTTCAGATCTTCGTACGGCTAGTTCATTCACAGATAATTCTCCGTAGCAGTTTGCTACTAGTAATTCTGTTCATCAGTCGTATCAAGTTGCTCAGAATCCAAAGAAACATTATTAGACTCAGAAAGTTCATCATGAAATGGAACAGACTGACTTGGAATGTCAAAACGAACTTGATCCACATGTCCTCTGTGTATGGACAAATCATTCTTGTCGAGTGGTGGAAGCATTCTCCGACGTGAAAACTTAAGGACAATTCATGAAGACGGTCTCAGGTCATTACCACAGAAAAATACAACTTCAGAGGAATAAACACAATAAACTGGATCTCAAATTTCGACCTTTCGAAAGTTTAGCAGGTAATTCTTTGGTGGAAGAATGAACAGAATTACGATATAGTAAAAGAAACAGGTCAATATCTCTCTCAAGTTCAGAAAATGTGGATGGGTTCAAAGCAGTAATAGCAATTTTCAATGTTCAAATAAAATTGTCTGCTTGATCACTAGAACAAGGATGTCTGGGAGCGGTAAACAAATGTTTGCATCCAATGTTATGCAGCCATTCTGAAACACTTTTCGCGGAGAAGTGACTGCCATTATCAGTCACAAGTACAACAGGAATACCCTCCCGACTGAAAACTTTGCGCCAAGCATGAATGGCAAAATCTGATGGGGGTAATCTAGTGAAAAATACCTCTGGCCACTTAGAGAAAGAGTCAATAACAACAAGAGCATACATTCCATTGAGAAATGGACCACAGTATTCAGCATGGACACGTTGCCAAGCCTCAGTTGAAACAAGCCACGGAACCCATTTGGATGGCAACTGTCGAACTTTATGGTAGAATTTAGGGCAGCTCTTTGCTTTGGAACATACGTTGGCATCTATTTCCGACCACCAACAAGTTAATATAGCCAATGACTTCATCTTTTCTATCCCAAGACGGCCAGAATGTAGGTCGTCAAGTACAGCTTCACACAACGTCACTGGATTAACAGCTCTACCTTGAAAAACACAGTTCGTCACGTTTAGCATAGTGATATGGAAATCATTTACAGGTCTGGGCATTCCAACCCTTCCGCAATGTAGTCATCACATCAGAGAAATAAAGTGTCACGAATATGTTCTTGACGGCTCACAGGGATAGGTTGTACCAGTAGTCTTCCGAGTCACAAGCGGGTAGCGATTGACGCGAAATCTAAACTACGTTTCGGATTTGCTTGGCACTGTGATGTTCGATTGTGTAGTCATATGCCCTGAGTGAGATGCTTCAAAGCTGAACCATAGCTACAGAGCTTCTGGAGAGGGATTTCCCAGGGTCGAAAATAAATTTCAAGACCTCATGATTGGTAACAATGGTGAAACAATGACCGGAAAGGACTCTGTGGAGGCGCTTGACTACCCAATATACAGCTAAGGCTCCGCGATGAGTTTAAGCATAACCTCGCTCAGCTACTGCTAGCCGCCGCGACACGAATAGCTGGATGCCCATTTTGCTCAAGAATAGCACCAAAGCCATCAGGTGATGCATCAGTAATACCAGTGGAATGAATTTTAGGATTGAATGGGTGAAGTACAGCATTGGTCTGCAGAAAACTCAGCGATTCATGTAAGCAATGTTCATGAGCATCAGTCCGAACAAAAGAAGAAAATGGGTGAAGCTTGCCGACTGAAATTAGGGATAAATTGAGAATAGTACTGTACGGCTTCAATCAGAGATCTGGATTTGTTTATCTTAGACGGTGAGTTGGCTTTTGTCAGAGGAAATAGACGGTTCGGGTCATGGTTTGTAACCTTTACCGTCAACTAGATATTCAAGACATCCAAAATGAGAGACAGAAAATAAACACTTCTTGGGATTAACGGCAACCTTTTTATCAGAAAACCTAGGAAAGATTTCAAGCAATCGTGTGTCACGAGTGGACTTGTCAGGAGCATGCACAATAATATCATCTTGATACATTTCAAAACCAGACATACCACCAGTAATGTCATTCATAACTTGTTGGAATATGGCAGGAGAAATGGATAAACGAAACGGCAAAGACTTGTATCTGTATAATCCAAAAGGGGTATTATTAGTTGTTCAGTTGGAGGAGGTTTCGTCTAACGGGATTTGTAGATAAGCATCTTTCAGGTCAATCTTGGAAAAGATCTCAGAACTATTCAACTTATCCAGAATGTCCTATGGTTCAACAAATCTGTTTTCGCAGTCTTGGCTTCAGGGTGATTCGGTAGTCGCCACATATTCTGGGGGTCTTGCCATCCGACTTGAGTGGTGTGACGATTCGTCTACCCCATACTGAAGATGCCACCTTCTCTATAACCCCTTTGGAACACAAGTTGTTCAGCACATTCGTGACAGGTTCACGAAGGCCATATAGAATAACTCGGCGTTTGAGAAAAACTGGATCGTTATTAACTGGTAGTTTCACTGGGGGAATTTTCATGCCACCACTGGCCCTTGAGCATTTAATAATCAAATATTTCAGTTCATTTTCAGTATCGATAGGGTTTAACAAGGAAAGATTGACATTTAATGCTTGCATAGCTTTCAAGCCTAATATGGAGGGGCCAAACTTGATTACGGTGAATGTACAGGTGGCACTTTTAGAATGTTCATCACTGACAGAAATCTCACACAAACTAACAAAAGGCAATGAATTTCCAGTGATGCCATTTATGGTGACAGTGGACGGCTGTAGCTTAGTATCTGGAGTAAACAGTTTTAAGTCGTGCACAGAAATTAGAGACTCCGCACTATCAGTGTCTAAAATGAAATGAAGGAACTAATCAGAGGAACTGAATAGTTGTTTATGAATGTAACCGGAATGGGAGGTAGTTACCAAAGATAAACAAGGAAAATGTTTGTCTATGTCACTCACTTCTCAGGCATTGGATTGAATTAAACGACAAGTTTCGGTACTGTGACACAGGTTTAATATGACCAGTTTTGCCACTTTTATTACACGAAAAGTAACGAAATAAAGATGTAAATCCGGACTGACTTTTGCCGCAAAATGCACAGGTGCCATAGGACTTATCCGGATATGTCACATTGTGTGAGCGAGATTGTGCAACCGGTTTGAAACGTCCGGCTGTAGCATGGACCTTCGTGAATTTTGTTTAGAGTGAATTGAACATGGCTGCAGATTCGATGGTCGATGAAATGGATGAAGTAACGGCGCGAATATCCTGATATTGTTCGCAATGGGTCCGCACATCCTTAAACGTTGGATTGAATAGCTTCAGAAGTTCATTTTGCAAAATAGTATTATTGATGCCAGCAATCAGTCGATCTCTTAAATGCATGTCCAGTAAGTCACCAAATCACACTTTGCAGATTGTGTGAGGAAATTCAATATGGAGTCACGGATGCCCTGGTTCGGATTGCGTTCCATTGAATGAAATTTTGCCCTCTCTGAGGCTTGAAATTTCGTCGGCTTCACATGCTGTAGAAGAAGGGATTTCGAATCCTCATAGGGTACAGAAACAGATGAGGAAGAATAAGCCAAGTTTTGATTTGTGTGTAAACATTTTTACCGACAGCATTTCTCATCGGGTTTCGAACGAGTCAACCACCAAATTTCAAAACGTTCAAAATAATGCTCAGTATCACTATTTTTGTCAACTATCCTAGGTGAGCTGTCCATCGTTCACCGACCCGGTTATAGTCCCGGATGTTGACTTCAAGTTCCCTCGCCTAGATGGGAAAACAACCCCGAGGACAGGTTATGGTTGAGACATCCTCAACAAAGACCACTTGCCGGCTTGGAAGGACAGGAACACTTCTAAATGTGCAAGGGAAAGTTAACCGTTTACATCTGAAGTCAGATACATTCGACCACATGCTGAAATCATCCCAAATGGCTTCCCTGTGATCAACAATTGTCTCACCTGCGTATGTGATTGATGCTACAATTGTGCTCAGAATGCTCATTATGGAACACACCACTAGACGGTAAATACTTTCACCTTTTGTAAAGGATTCAGTAGTCGAATTTAAAGTATCAGCACTGTTAACTAGCACTAAAAGAATAAAACAATCATCCAACAAAGAACATAGGGGCATCTGTAAGGGCGAAGCTAAAAAATACTATTATCTGGCCTTCTGTAAATTGTTGATCTAATTTGAGGGGATTTTGTCCGAATATATTGAGCAGATAAATGTCGAACTTCAATTCGAAAGTGATTGCTGATAAAAGTGGGAATGAGAAGGAAGGTGATTTGTTTTAACTTCTGATCTACTCGCAGTGTTCCCGTGAGGGTGGAAACGTTGATTCCAATACCAATGTGCACCGCCACGTGAACATTTACCAAAAATGTTGTACAACGCATTCTTTCCACTTGTCTCTCTCTCTTCCTCAGATTCGATCCGTGAAGAAATATCGTCGTCGAAATCAAACGGTTGGAAATCAAGTGTTGACTCGTGAATTCCCAGTTTTGCGTTATCTAGTGCGACTGCGCCGCAATCCTAGTTTCTATGTGTTCATGCTGGTCATTCCATGCGTGCTGTTATCCTCGCTCACTCTTGTGGTGTTTTGGCTCCCACCGGAATCACCTGCCAAAATGATGCTCGGTAAGTCATTTATTTTGATATTTACGCCCATCTATTATCAGATTGACTTATAGGAGGCTGTCCTCGTTTAGTACCAGTGATTGGTTCAGATTTTATGGATCATCGTATCGGTGCTATGCTTTTATTCAACGCTCGGTTATGGATGCGAAACTCGAGGTGAACTTATTTTATCTTAGTGCATTCTTTGTGTTTCCCAGTTGACTCCAAGCGCGTGAAGTTTCAGTTTTTACATCCGTTAATCATGCGCTTTCGGTTGCTGTCTCTTGACTGCTCATTTCGATGAAGAAGTAAAGGGAAGGTTGGAATGTTCAAATCCGTATCAGAGTGAAAACAGGGAATTTTATCAAGATAAGGATTCCGAAGAATTTGGGATCTACGAGCGTCACTGATTATGACCATGTCACCCATGGTCTATAGCTATCGACTACGTCAGTCATAATTCCTCCATTCAGAAGGCCTAACGCGATCTATATAAGCAAGTCTTCTGGTCGGGGTTTTTCCGGCAATAAAATTTGGAAATTTGAATTTTATAAACATAAGGTGATCCCCCAGAACAGCCACCTTGATTGCCGGTATCACTCGTTTGCAGTCAGAGTGTGCGGCGCATGAAATTCTCTCCCATCCGATGTAGTGTGTGCTCCTACAATTGAACTATTTAAATCGCAACTTGATAAACCATTGGAACACTTCGAATTTCAACATCCGTGAGTGATCACGGATATTATTATCATTATTATTTTCTCTTTGTGAAGTTATTCAAAACATTCTGTTAAAAATCCTATTAGGCATGATAAGCTTTAGCTTTGTTAAATCGCCCATAATAAAACTTTGACTTTGAATGAAAATACATAGAACGTTATGATGTCAAGCTCGTCCGCACGCAAACACTTTCTACCAAAAATGCACTCAGTAAGGACTGCGATCTTTTTTTGCAAGCGATAGAGGACTGATGGAAGTTCTTCAGACCTTGGAAAAGCGTTGACGATTGATTTGATAGTAAGCGCTTATTTGTTAGTGTGCGATGTGCTTAAATGCGTTGAAATTAGATATGTAATGACACAACTGAAAGATGATGGATATAGGTACGCCGGATGATAGTAGGACCGTCTGTAGTCGCCTAAATGACGTCTCAGTACGGCGTTTTTTTTAATTATCGACAACATGATGTACTGTCTTCAAACAGTTTGCACAAACTGAATCTAATTTCGGTGACATTTCTCTCATTTCCTCCTATCACTCAAATTGACACAGGAATGAATATATTCGTCGCCTTCTTCGTCTTGTTAATCCTGCTTACGGAGTCGACCCCGAGCGCAGTAAAGAACTTCCCTCTGATTGGTAAGTTGATCGACTGCTGGCAATGACTTGTAGTTTCAGTTGGCTAGTCGTTATAGTAAAACAGAAAACATGCAGGTATTCTCTCTCCTCATTTTTGAATACGTCAGTAACATCGAACTCTGTATCTCTTGTATATCACACGGAACTCGTTTTGGAAAACAATATGAACTTGTATATCTATAACTGAGGAAATAATACAAATTCGATTCAAATCACCAGTCATATGTGACTACGTTAGATAGTAAACGCTGCAGGATATCCATCCACGCAAGTGGACACTCATGCACAATGTGATTGAATTACAACAATTAGTAGAGTGGAAATGATGTTATTATTAATGACAATAAAATGTCGTGTTTGATTGAATTTATTTGATCATCATCGTCACCAGAAACAGCATAGTCTTGTAGTCTTTTTGATGTGGAGTTCACTTCATGGAACTTTCTTCGTTCTCCAAATACAAAACATTATGCTCACTGACAGTAGTACCGTCTTTCGGATGACCGAAAAAGTGGTCACTACAGGACAGTTTAGGGAATAGATTCAGTTTCTAGCTAGGTTGGTTGATGGCATTTGTTAGATCGTTTTGGGGAACAAGACTATGGATTGAACTCAGAGATAGACACTGTCCCGTTTGTTGCCAAACGGTGTGGACAAACGAATGCCCTTCCGTCAATTAGGAATGCCTTGACAGGTCAATCACTTCGAGGCGCAAATTGGCCCAGAATGAGTAGGTAAATGTGGAGTTAAGGACAGACCATATTCTTTTTGGTTTTATGGGCTAAAATACGTTTCAGAGACTCAGAAACAGCTGCATTGTGTTTGTCTGGCTTTCAGGTTGCCAGCATGGTGAATTCACATCTTGGGCGTGTATCGAACGTCACCGTCTTTTTGTAAGGACCTTCCACTCTTGTTTCTCACTCAACAGTAGCAACAGTTGGTGGAAGAATATTCTTCGTGTGCACATTTTGATGGATTAGTAAATGCACATTGGTTAGTAGACTGTATTCATTGAGTCGCATTCAACTATTTTTAATGACTTCTGATCGACAAATGCACTCGTGTTATGACAATCTAGTTACTACTGTTTCATTTATGTATTTTTGATATCTTATTATTATTTTCTTACCCTGGGTCTCTCTCGAAATTGTATATCTACCTGGGTGCTACTTTATGATGCCTTCATCCACCTTGATCACAACTTACTCGTTTGGGGATTTTTGTGAAACAATAGTGGGGAATTAACGATCTCCCAAAGAGTGTAACCCACACCGAACATGATCAACAGTGCCTGGTGCCTGTAAAAAAACAAATCGGCTAATCCAAACATGCACCGTCGAAGTTTACTAGCTCGTGTTTTTTTTAAATACAAATCTGCATTAATTTCACATCCGGCTTTTCTTGATCACATTTCAGGTGTCTATTTCTGTTTAAACATGATCATGATCACTTTATCTACATTCTTGGCAACACTGGTGATTCATCTCTATTTCCGTGGAGACCGTAATGGAGTGGTCCCAAAGTTTCTTCGGCGGGTACGTTGATTGATTATTGATGAGACAATCAGTTCAATTGATCCTATACACAATGTTACTAGCTGTAATTTTAACCGATTGGCTCATTGGCTCACTAGTGCTAGAATTTGTCGTGATGGCCAACGGAGAGCATTCGGCAGCTGTTTCATTCTTATTGGGAGTAAGCATCAGTAGTTGCTCTGTGTCCCTTCCGGGACCAGTAATATTGGAACCTTGGGGTTCGAGTTCCGAACCCTACCTCTGATCTTCACGTTCGAGCGAACAACTGTATTGTCTCAACCAAGGCCAACACCAATGAACTATACCTAATATGTAGGTAATTGACGAATTCCCAACGAGTGACACTCACACCCAAGAGCTTAAAACCTTATCTGGTGCCCGCACAACTCGTGCGAGTTAACCGAAAAGAAGCATTTCAGTTTCAATGTCCTATGGAACTAATTTATAGAACTATGAAGTTGTTTTTATGGTAAGACATTTTGCTTTACATTGTTCACGTTTTCTAGGTTGCTTTCAACTATTCAACATCTCTCTCTCCCTGTCTCACACTCCCCCAACGTGTCTTGTCTTGCCGTGCAGCTGGTTATCGAAGGAATCGGACGTTTATTGTTAGTACGACAGAGGATTCCATTACCCGATATCAAAAAGAGCACCACTCATAGTTCTCCACGCACTACTTCCAATGTGCCAGGTAGACGTGAGATGTCTGGGAGCAATTTTCTAATGAATGAGTCCTCATTCGGGGAAGATTCTAGAACCAGCTTTCATGGAAGTAATGCTCACGGTCCCCCGGGGCTAATACCGGGGGCAGGATATGCAATGTTCGGTGACCAAATACCGTACGATGTCCGCGCCGGTGGTCCTGGTGGTTCGATGCCTGGCCCCTATGGTCCAGGTCCCGGAATGTTGCCAAAGTTTCCACCCAATGCAGGCTATTTTGAGCCATGTAGTTGTGGTGCGGCCGCTCGTGAGGGTTTGATGGGTGATCCTTCGGGCACGCCTGCAATGGATAAAGGCACGTTCGGGTTTCAGCGGACGAAAGACTCGGTGGGAAACGGAGCGCCGGACGTGGACGAACAAACCCCCACGTGGATTAACTCGACCGCGGCGTTGGAACGGGATGTTCGGGAAGTTAAACAGTACGTAAAAGCCTTCGTAAGTCGTCAGAAAGAAATGCATCGAAAAAGCTTGGTGGCAATGGAATGGCGTACCCTGGCGTTGGTACTGGATCGCCTCTTCTTCGTTCTCTACATTACCACCATTGTGATTGCAGTGGTTGTCTCGGTGCCTCGCAGCACTGAACCGGAACTTCCTGAAGCATTCCGTGAGACGGAGATCTACTGAGTGACTTCTCACCAGTGGGGACTGAAAGTACTTTAGGTGGAGTTATTCTCGAGGTTGTCACTGTTGTCGTTCTTTTTTCTTTGTACAGACTAATCCTCAATGTCAAACGCTACTGAGTTCCTGGTCCAGTTTTCTTCCTAAATCTTATCAGTTGAGTTCACAGAGTTCATCTTACTGACACTTCGATTAGTCACGTTTTCAGATCTACCTAATGAAACCGTTTTTCCCCGAGCAATCTATATAATATGCACTATTCTTTTTTGGTCCATTGCTGTATCTAGTTCTCTCATCCGCAGCCCTAATATTTTAAAATTCGCCAGTATAATATTGGATAGACTAATTGGGTGTTGTGTTGAACATGTGCTCTTATGTCCGTTTGCCCCTCGCCACCCCTCCTCAAACCCGCATCCTATTATTCATCTCTTATTCTCTCCTTAATGACATGCATAATAAAGAGTTTCCGAATAAGCATTGGGTTTTTCATGGGGTATTCGGTTTCCCAAATTGGAATTAGCTTACTGCATTGACCAGTTGCTTTGTTCAGGTTGTTTCCAGGGCCCTTGGTCATGTGCGAACGAACAATATTGCACTTTCTCTCTCCTTTCTAACGAGGGAGTGTCGATCGTATGGACTTCAACCTGGCAGAACTGGTTGCACTTTCAGCTCCGATGCGGCAAATAAATATTAAGTAGTTCACTGAGCCTGGCAATCACTAGCAAAGATAGCACTTCAATGAGATCTCGTGGAGATGACTAAACGCTCTCGTTGGTGTTGTTGGTGTGGGTGTGTGGAAGGGGGACAGATTGTATACCATCTATATTGAGGTCTTACATGGTTCACCAGTCTGAATATCAGAATCCGATTACCCGCTTTCTTTATCTTCATTCATGAATATTGAAAATCAAATGACGACCAGGTCTCCTCCGTCCGCGCGCAGTCGCTCAGTCACAGAATTCAGATCACGCTCATTTTTGTGGCTTATGTTGTGGAGTTTGATGCTTCATTTTCTCCCTTCAAGGCCTCTATTTTTGATTGAATCATCAATCTCCCATTGTTCAGGTTCTGTTCATTTCCAACCTTGTACGTGATTTCTACATTCCATTAACACTGCAGCGAACAAAGCTTGTTTTCAACAGCACTTCTTCCTCAGGCTAAATCGTTTTGCTACTCAGTTGGATACACACTTTCGTTATTTCTTTCTTGGATCATGAATGCTACAGTTTTTCTAACGCAACAGAACAATATTCTCATGCAATATTAGCCAAGTAGCTTGTTATCTACAGGTTGGAAGTTCGTCGCACATTTGACACAAATCATATCACTCATACCTCTTGGAAACCAAAAATGAAAAAGCACAGTGACCCGAAGAACACCGATTCTCTCTCTATCTCTCTAAAGCAACGATCTCGAAATAGCCGGCAGCATAAACTTTGAAGAGGACGATGATGAAGAGATCACACAACTGAATCAAACGCAAAAAATGATTCAGTAATAATTAATACATAGACCGATTTCTGGATGCTTTTAAAGATTTAAGAGTCAGTTATTCCGAGGAGAAACCCCACTCCCTCTTCAGTTNATAATGAAAGTAATTCAAATCATTTTTACACTCAATCTTATGCACACCTTCGTTATTTCTTTCTTGGATCATGAATGCTACAGTTTTTCTAACGCAACAGAACAATATTCTCATGCAATATTAGCCAAGTAGCTTGTTATCTACAGGTTGGAAGTTCGTCGCACATTTGACACAAATCATATCACTCATACCTCTTGGAAACCAAAAATGAAAAAGCACAGTGACCCGAAGAACACCGATTCTCTCTCTATCTCTCTAAAGCAACGATCTCGAAATAGCCGGCAGCATAAACTTTGAAGAGGACGATGATGAAGAGATCACACAACTGAATCAAACGCAAAAAATGATTCAGTAATAATTAATACATAGACCGATTTCTGGATGCTTTTAAAGATTTAAGAGTCAGTTATTCCGAGGAGAAACCCCACTCCCTCTTCAGTTTGTACGTAAGGGGTAAAGGAATCCCGAGAGAGAATACTATAGGGACTTAGACCAACGATTACAGTCTTCTCAAAACATCAGCGTTCGAACGGGTGTTCGGTCATTACAGGAACATTGAACAAGGAAACTCATCGTACGAACAAACCAAATCCTCCACAACTCTTATGTGACATGTAATCAAGTTGGAATGTGTTCAACAGAATCATAACCCTGAAAGCTAGTGCTGAGATGCGTCAAATGCAATACCTGCATTAAGCAGGTGGTGTGATGGTGTGTGGTGGTTTGTGATATGTTGTGTATAAGGAAAATGAAAAAAACGGTCTGGGCATCCGACGGGTGGACGAGTGTGTAGTATGCTTACGTTTAACCTGTGACGTCCCGTTCTCGATCCCGAGATGGGTCGATCGATTCGTACCGTTGATGATACAGAAACAATTAGAAAAAGCTGTCTATTGATTTCTAGATTTCCACTTTATGCTTCATTTGCTCTATACAGGACGAATTCTCGCTTTGAAATTGAATAAAATCTTCCATTAATTTCATGCAATACAGCTATATATAGGGTTCAAAAGTAGTGCAACGATATGATGCGATGAATATAATTGATTAATTGACTGGTTTTTTTATCTGTGGTTTGGAAGTGAAAGGGCGATGTTGTTGTTGTTGTGTGGTTTGGAAGTGTTCACAGTCGATTGAGTGAGTGAGATGT